TATAGCTATGTGGTAGAGTGTTGAAGTGCCCAAGCCTGTCAGGTGTTGAAATGTCGCACAGTTAAGCTGGCCCCATCATTATCATTTCACAGATCCCTTCCTCTCTTCATCAGTGCTGCTCATCTCGGGTCCCAGGGAAATATTCTTAGGGTTAGGTACTATCAGATTGGAAGCCCACTCTTTCCAGTTGGGATACCTCCCAACCCACTGAAGAGCTTTTTTTTGTTTGTTTGTTTTGGTTTTTTTTGAGATGGAGTTTTGCTATTGTTGCCCAGGCTGGAATGCAATGGCACAATCTCAGCTCACTGCAACCTTCATCTCCCAGGTTCAAGCGATTCTCCTGCCTGAGCTTCTGAGCTTCACGAGTAGCTGGGATTATAGGCACCCGCCACCACGCCAAGCTAATTTTTGTATTTTTAGTAGAGAGAGGGTGGCACCGTGTTGGCCAGGCTGGTCTCGAACTCCTGACCTCAGGTGATCCTCCCGCCTCAGCCTCCCAAAGTGCTGGGATTGCAGGCGTGAGCCACCGCGACTGGCCCAACCCACTAAAGAGCTCTTAGGTCTGTGTGGCTGCATTTCCTTGCGTAGCTCGTTTGTGGAAGAATGTGCACGCACATACGCGCGGGAATGGGCATGTGGAGTGGGGTGGTTGGCTGTTTCCCTTATGGTCTGAAAGCATGAAAGCCCCCACCAATACGCCTCTTCTACTCTGCAGATCTTCATTCACAAACTGCCGCCGTACCTGGGTTTAAAAAGGCCCAAGCCCGAGAGAGAACTGATGCCGGAGCCCCCTCACTGTTCTTCTCCAGGAAGTGGCTGGGGTCGGGGAACAGATGAATATTTCATCCGGAAGCCGCCAAGTGATTTTCTCTTCCCCAAACCCAACAGGTAGGACCACGCTCATTACCCACATAAAAGGGAGAGGGAGAACTACAGTTCCCAGAAGAATGTGCGGGAAGCGGCCCATGCTCCCGGAAGATGCTGTGGTTGAGCATCATGGGAGTTGTAGTACCCCTGCTGCTCACATTGAGGGGAGGTGGGAACTAAAACAGAGGCGGTGGAAGAAGTTGCACAAGGTTAGAGAGATCACTGCTGTCGGGGAGAGCGTGAAGGGCACTCTCGGGTTTTGAGAACTGGCAAGTTGTTGGAGGCAGCTGGAGCGGGGCCTGGGTCGCTGGCATTGGCTGTCTTTGCGTCTGGGCGTGGCCAGTCACTCCTCTTCCAGGTTCCAGCCTGAACTGCCTGCCCCTGATCTGCGGCGATTTATCGATGGTTCAAACCGGGCTGTGGCCCTGCCTCCGGAGTTACGGGAGGTCGTCTCCTCTATCAGCTACATCGCTCGACAGCTGCAGGAACAGGAGGACCACGATGCGGTATGTCCAACGGGAGTGGAACAAGGCCAGGCGTAGGCGACCTTGGCCCCACCCCCAAATTCCGCACCAGCACTCGCTTTCGTTTCTTTCGTTTTTTTTTTTTTTTTTTTTTTTTGAGACACTCTCACTCTGTCGCCCAGACTGGAGTGCAGTGGCGCGGTCTCGGCTCACTGCAACCTCCGCCTTTCGGGTTCAAGCGGATTGTCCTGCCTCAGCCTCCCCAATAGCTGGGACACAGGCGCGCGCCACCACGCTTAGCTAATTTATTTAGTTATTTATTTTAGACAGTCTCGCTCTGTCACCCAGGCTGGAGTGCAGTGGTGCGATCTCGGCTTACCGCAAGCTCCTCCTGCCGGGTTCACGCCATTCTCCTGCTTCAGCCTCCCGAGTAGCTGGGACTACAGGCGCCCGCCACCACGCCTGGCTGGTTTTTGTTTTTGTTTTTTTGTTTTGTTTTGTTTTGTTTTGCTATTTTTAGTAGAGGCGGGGTTTCACTGTGTTAGCCAGGATGGTCTCCATCTCCTGACCTCAGGATCCGCCCGCCTAGGCCTCCGAAAGTGCTGGGATTACAGGTGTGAGCCACCGCGCCCGGCCTTGCTTTCGTTTCTGATTGGACATCTTCCTAATTTGGTCCCACCCCCTGCTTACCTACTGGTTCTTTATGGCCATGCATTGCCTGCAGTCTTTCTCTCCTATTGCGCTGCTGGCTCTTGCCTCAAACCGGTGGTAGGAGGACCCAGGCGGGTACAGGTTGGGGAAATGGGAGGGTTTCCCTGGGGGTCTGGGCCCAGAGCTCAGGAAGTTTCCTTTGCCTACCCACAGCTGAAGGAGGACTGGCAGTTTGTGGCCATGGTAGTGGACCGCCTCTTCCTGTGGACTTTCATCATCTTCACCGGCGTTGGAACCCTAGTCATTTTCCTGGACGCCACGTACCACTTGCCCCCTCCAGACCCCTTTCCTTGAAGACTGGAGGGTCGAGACCCAGGCCCTCTACCAGTTGAAGTGAGAGTTTGGTGATACTGTCAAGCTATATCCTTCTCTGCCTCTTAACTCCTTCACTAGGAATCCGGGCCTCTTATTTCGTTTCTGGGGACTGCATTGGACTGAGGGCTGGGTAGGCCTGAACCCTGTCTTGGACCCACCTGAAATGCACTATCATCTGATTTACTCTTTGGGATCTTGAAGAAGCTCTTTTGGGTATCAACACCTAGGTTGCCAGTGAAATAGAACAAAGAACAGGAACTAGATTGTAAGCCTTATGAGGTCAAGAAATGTGTCTTGTTCACTGTAATATCCCCAGTGCCATGCACAGGTCCTGACCTATAGTAAGTGCTTAACATTTGTTGAATAGGGGAAATAAATTTCTGGAAGTAAATACAGCAATTAATAATGTTTATAAGCTGGGCATGGTCGCTCAGGCCAGTAATCCCAGTGACTTGGGAGGCTGAGGTGGGAGGATTACTTGAACCCCACAGTTTGAGACCAGCCTGGGCAACATAGTGAGACTCTGTCTCTAAAAAAAAAAAAAATAGAAATAAAGTAGCTTATTGTTTGCATGTCGGGTCTTGTGGTCATTTTTAACTTTTTGTAATTTATTATGTTTTGTAATGTGTACTATCTTTAGGATTAAAAAAAAAGTTATTTCTACAAGCATGCACTGGTAATGAGAAAAAACAGCATTTTCAAGACCGTCATTCAAGTTCCAGCCTTGGTGCTCACACAAGCCACTAGACTGCTTTGTACTTGTTTCCACATCTGTAAAATGAAACTAGTGATAGCATGTGCCCTATAGGACTGTCTGGGGATCACATGAGAACATGGGAAAAAAGCACTATGCGGTGTGTATCAGAGGTTGCAACGGTGTGTTTGGCCTGCAGAGTTTTAAATTTGCCCTAGTTCACTAATTTTATTTATTTATTTATTTTTTTGAGACAGAGTCTCGCTCTGTTGCCCAGGCTGAGTGCAGTGGTGCAATCTCGGCTCACCACAACCTCCGCCTCCCGGGTTCAAGTGATTCTTCTGGCTCAGCCTCCCGTGTACCTGGGACTACAGACACACACCACCATGCCCAGCTAATTTTTGTATTTTTAGTACAGATGGGGTTTCACTATGTTGGCCAGGCTGGTCTCGAACTCCTGACCTCATGATCTGCCCGCCTCGGCCTCCCAAAGTGCTGGGATTACAAGCGTGAGCCACCACGCCCAGCCACTAGTTCACCACCATTTATTTATTTATTTATTTATTTATTTATTTATTGGAGATGGAGTTTCGCTCGTTGCCCAGGCTGGAGTGCAATGGCACGACCTCCGCTCACTGCAACCTCTGCCCCTGCCCGGGTTCAAGCAATTCTCCTGCCTCAGCCTCCCGAGTAGCTGGGATTACAGGCATGCGCCACCACGCCCAGCTAATTTTGTATTTTTAGTAGACACAGGGTTTCTCCATGTTGGTCAGGCTGGTCTGGAACTCCCAACCTCAGGTGATCTGCCTGCCTCAGCCTCCCAAAGTGCTGGGATTACAGGCGTGAACCACCACACCCGGCAGCTTTTAAAATGTGGCTATTTCATGAGAAATTTGACTTCCTGTCTTCTCTTGAAGATAATTTTATGAAAAAAAAAACTATAGAGACAGGATCTCACTATGTTGCCCAGGCGGGTCTTGAACTTCTGAGCTCAGGTGATCCACCTGCCTCGGCCTCCCAAAATGCTGGGATTACAGGTGTGAGCCATCACACCCAGGCCCAAAAATAATTTTAAAAACTATAGTAGGCCAGGCACGGTGGCTCACTCCTGTAATCCCAGCACTTTGGGAGGCTGAGGCGGGCGGATCACGAAGTTAGGAGTTCGAGACCAGCCTGACCAACATACTGAAACCTCGTCTCTACTAAAAATACAAAAATCAGCTGGACTTGGTGGCATGCACCTGTAATCCCAGCTACTCTGGAGCCTGAGGCAGGAGAATCGCTTGAACCCAGGAGGTGGAGGTTGCAGTGAACTGAGATTGTGCCACTGCACTCCAGCCTGGCCAACAGAGCAAGACTCTGTCTCAAAAATAAATAAATAAATAAAGTAACACCAGGCCTGATTCCCCTGTTGGCAACAACTTGGCTAGAGCTTAGTGGCTGCCCACTCTGTCTGGTCAAGTTATTCATACCACAGTTCCTCAAAGCCCCTATACGCCTGACCCACGTCACTTAGTTTAGCTGCCCATTCTTCCATAACACTAGAAAAGATATAGGGGGCAAGGAGTTGAAGCAGGGAAGCTACAAGTGGAAAAAGAAAGGTTGTGTCTCTTATGGGCATCACACATTTTGTGCCTCAGTCTTCTTTCAATTTGGAAGGAAGGTTAGACCTGGTTTAAGTCAGGGACATTTTGGACATGGAGATCTTGCGCTCAGCAGGTTGTATGAACTAGACTGTTAACATTTCTGGCTGGAAGTTGGGCCAAAGTCAGCTTGAGCTGACAGTCCAACAAGTCCTCACTCAACTACTCAACTGCTGGAAGTTGTTGTCCAAAGAGAGAGCATTGGGCCACAACTCGCAGGGATCCCTGTGGGACAAAGTTAGCATGTTCCTTTTCCCCAGACCCACCAGCCACGCAAATAACTGCACCTGGCATCCCACTGTGGAGCACAGTTCATTTGTCTTGTTGGTTTATTGGCCTACAGAGTTGGACACACACACAAATGCGGAGATAAATATTGGTCAGTTTCTCTAAATCTGGGTCCTCACTACGTATAGAGCTAGAGTCTGTAGAATTCTAAATCTTGCGTGCTGTGGCACAGAACCAGTGGCCTTCCCACTCTGCCACCACCCTTCTTCCCAGGGAACATGGGGAAAGAGGGCACGAACTAACAAGACTTGATCATTTTCAAAAGACAAAACTGCAAAATCCCAAATTTCCAACATCTGAAACTCACAATATTCAAATTCCCCAGTTCAAATACATATATTTTAATCTCCACGTCGCCACAATCTCATTTGTTGCCCAGAACCACCACATTCTGGAAGCTATTTTCCTTAATCATATTTAAAAAAAAAATAAATGTCTACAATCTCAATTCTCCCAAAAAAATGTCCATGGTTTTGGAATTTTGACCTATTCTGAAGTTCCAATTCTCTGGTCCATCCTCAACCCTTCCATTTTCCCATGCCTGTTTGCCTCAGAGGAGTACGGGTTAAGGATATAGGGGCACTGTCATAACCTCTGCCCTTGCCTCCAGGCCTTCCTCAGTCTCTCGTGGTTCCGCTGTATAGATAGATATATAATTTGTGTGTAGATATATATATATGTATTCTTTATTACGTATTTTTTTGCAGTTTTTCTAAAGTGCCAGAAACAAGATTTGTGGGAAATTTTAGTGATTTTTTTTTTTTTTTTTTTTTTTTGCATTTTTCCCCATTTGAAACTTCCCCCCCTTAAAAATTGGAACTTGGTACATTCAGTAGGAAATTCATCACTCAGGCTGTGGCCAAGACCAAGAAAAGTGCAAAGAGACAGAGGAGGAATGAAGGAGTGACTCCTCTGTGGTTAACATTCAGGGAGCCTGTCTAAAACCTCCCCCTTTGTATATGCTGGGAGGGTATGAGGGGTAGGAGGATGGTCCTGGCCCTCCCTAAACTCACCTCCCTCCAAAAGCCATGATCTTGCCCTTGGCAGTGATTGCTGCTAGGGCAGCCATCTTGGCCCCAAAAACAGTAGCTGGGGAAAAGGCTGGCATTTTGATGACAGCAACTTTTCCTTTTAAAACTGCACTCCTCTAATTCCCATTTGTCAAATTTGCTCCCCCAAACTGGCTCTCCCCTTGTGAGCTATTTTCTGGGGGGAGGTGGGTGGGATGGGAAATGTTTATCCAATCACAGAGCAGGGAGGCCCAGTTTTCAAAGAGAATTAGGAGCAAACATTTCTTCATCTCCCCCACTGGAAGGAAATACAGGGACCCCTGACCAGGGTTAACTAGTGCAAATTAGGGATTAGGGACTATTTAAAGTCCCTGTACCCCATCCCTAGGCTGGGATCTTTGGGTGAGGGGAACTGAGTCAAAGATGGGGTGTAAGGTGCTATTTTGAAGGGAAAGCTGGTGGGGATACCCCAAAGCCCACCAGAAGAATAGAATGGTTCCCCCAAAACCATCTGGAGTGATTGGTGAGGGGAGTGATACTGGGGAGATGGGAATACAGGTAAGGATGGAAGGTCATGTGCAAATCCTGGGCTTACCCACCCATCCCACCCCTATCATTTTTCTGGCTATTTGGTCTAGTCTGGGAGAAACCATCAGGAAAAAAAACAGGGAGAAAGTAGATTCCCTTCTCCATCCCATTTGGAGTTCTTCCCTCCTGGCCCCCAAATCTGGTTTAGCCCAGAATAGGCCATATGTAGAGGCAGAAAGAGGTGTGATCTGCTCACCTCTTTTGCCTTGGAAGAATCTGGAGCTCACTGGATTTGGGGGTCAAGATGGGGCCAATACTTCCCTGCCCTGGACTGGGAAAGTGCTCAGATACGGAACAGAGGGGCAGCCCCCCTCCAAACCTCCTTGACCTGGCTTGGGAGAGGTCATCTCCGAAGTCCAGGAATACGGGGAGGAACATGGAAGATCCAAAGGCATGGAAGCCGAGGAAGGCGTCTTGATGCAAGGGAAACAGGGACGTAGAGACCCACGCTTGGGAAGGATGGAACCCAAAGCCACACTCCCAGGCGGGTGGGGTCAGGTATCACAATGGTCTGGTCCAGGCCCTGGGCCACAAAGAATGGAATGTGCTAGGAAGCATCTGGGAAGGGCTTAGAGAAAGCTTCAGAACAAGGGGGGGTCATTAGGAGAGAGAGATGGTTTCCCCCTAGGTTTACGAATCAGGGGAGCAGGTTAGACATTCAGAGCTGGTGGGGGCCGTAAGTAGAGATTCAGGTTAAGTATATTGCTCAGTTGCCCCAAGGGCTGGAGAAGGGATGGAAGCTGGCCCTGCCCCTCATGGAGGCCATTCCCTGGAGGAAGATTGAGAGGGGAACCTCGAAAGATCCCTTCCCAGGAGATGGGAAAACTACAATCTCACACAAAGCAGCCTGACCCCTGAGCTCCAGGGGCCCCCAAGTCCCTGCACAAGAGTGTGGAGGGGCTCCCAAGGGGCAGGGAGGCCAGGGAGCTGGTAGTGGTGGGGGGTTCAGGGAGGGTGGCATCTGGTGAAAGGGGGATTGAGCCCCAAGGTTCACCCCACATCACCCTTCTGGGTTCTCTCAACCCCTGCCCTTTCCCCTTCTCCCTTAGGGGGAACTGGTGGAGGAAGAGTTGGGGGAGGTGGTGTTGGCGGGGTAGGGGGTGCTGCTTGAGGATTCACTGCGTAGCCAAAGACCCCTGGTAGGAAGGGAAGGGCCCCCCCACCCTTCTCATCAGGTAGGACCATGTTGAGAGCAACTGGGAGAGCGGCCAAGTTACTGAAGTTGTAAGGGTAGGCGGCAAGGAGCTGGGGGCCGTAGACGAGCGGGTAGGGCTCAGGGTAGAAAGTGACTTTGGCAGCCCCTATCCCCTCCATCCGGTCCCCCTCACCAGCTCCCACTGGCCCTTCACTCCCAGATTTTCCCCTGCCACCACCAGGTTCCCGGCCGCCCCCAATCAGGGCCAGTGGAAATTCCTGCACAGGTGGGTATGCATAGCTGCCCCCACCTGCCACCACTGGGGGTTCCTCACCCCCTGAGATGACAGGGTCCTGGAGTGAGGCGGTCTCGGAAGCTTCCTCAGCAGCAGTGCTTCCGCCGCCTGCCTCACCACTGGATGAGGAGACTTGCATCTCTTGGGGGGCTTCCTCCTTGACATCCCCGGGCCGGGTGCCAGCGCTGCCCTTGGAATAGGCAATGACAGGTGTTGGGGTGCCCCCGGGCCGCTCAGCAGCATGCCTTTGCCCGTGGCGGCTCAGGGCAGCTGCGGTCTTGCACACCTTGGCGCAGTGGGGGCAGGTAAAGCGGGTGGAGGGCCTCCGTCCGGCCCGGGAGCTGTGGGAGCCCCCACCGTGGGCCTCTTGGTGCTTTCGCAGCTTTCTCAGGGTGGCAAAGGTCTGGGCACAGTCCCCGCAGCGGTGCCTCCGCTCTGTGCAGGCACGTCCCGCTGGGCTCTCAGCTGCTGGGGTTTCCTCCCAGCTCCTCCGTTCCAGCTTCTGCCTCCAGCGTGGTGGCCGGCGGCCTCGGGGCGGCCCACTACCCCCCGCACTGGCACCTCCAGCAGCTCCAGCCTTGCGCTTAGGCTTGTAGGAGTAGTAGGGCCTCCAGAGCTGGTCCTCCCCACCAGCCTTTGATTCCTCCTCATCCTCCTCCTCCTCTTCGTCCTCCTCCTCTTCATCATCTTCAGTCTCCTCCATCTCCTCTCCGCTCAGCTCCCCAGGACGCAGGTCAGTCTCTGAGATGCGGCGCTTGACAATGGCCTCCTCCCCGATTCGCACGGTGATCTGACACAGTGGAGGTGGAGCCTGCAGCTGAGAGGGGCCCCGGCCAGCCCCTGCAGGGGCACCCCCACCTCCACCAATCCCGCCCACTGGCTTGGCTGTGTAAGTCAGAGTCCTTCCGGCCCGTGGATTCCGACCCTTGGCCTCCTCCGTGGCGGTGGCCGTGGCTGGCCCTGCAGCAGTGGCTGGGCTGGCTGCTGTGGCTGGGCTGGTGGGTGTGGCTGCAGGCTCAGGGGGAGGAGGTGGGTATTCTCGTTTCTTGGGTGGCCTCGGGGGAGCAGTGTAAGTGATAACCGAGGCGGCTTGGGACCCTCCTGTGCTGGCCGTCCCACTCCCCCCTCCACCACTGCTACTGCCCCCATGGACAATGACAGAGGGGGCTGGGTGGGCAAAAGTGATGACAGAGGGTGGAGGGCCAGGCTCTGGGGCAGGTGGGGGCCCAGGCGGCGGGCTGGCTGGCATTGCCACAGGGGCCGGTGTGTTGAGGCTTGGAGAAAGAGGGGCCTCCGGGGCTCCCTGGCTGTAGGTCTTGTAGGGCCGCTTGGCTGCCCGCATGGGGAGCAGGCGGTAGAGCTTGAGTGTATTGAGCTTGGGCTTGTAGCCTCCATTGGGTGTCTTCTCACTGGCAAGGAGGCCTGGGCTAATGCCGTGGAAGGCTCGCTGGTGGGTCTTCAGGTTATAATAAGTGACAAAGGTCTCCCAACAGAAGATGCACTGGTACCTGGGTCAGCACAGCAGGGAAGAGGGAGGAACACAGCCACTTGAGTCAAGGGCCCTGAAGCCTCCCAGGTCCTCCTGCACCCTGCACTCAAACCTGTGATTCCCGCAGCCTTGCGCTGCCTCCCTCACCCAGCCAGCCTCAGTGCGGGGTGCCCATCTGAGCTCAGTGTCCCCACCGGCTGTGAGACTCTAGGCCTCAGCTGTTCCACTTGGGACCCAGCCTAACTCACAGAGCCTTCTTCTCAAGCCCAGATGACAGAATGGGGAAACGACTTACGAACAGGGACACTGCGTGGAAACACAAGGCCCTGCTCAGAATAGTGTAATGATTCCTGGACATGCCTGTGCCGTTGCAGTCCTTTCCGGCGAGGGGAGCTTTCTCTTTCCCTCTAGCCCTTCCCCACAGCAGCAAGCCAGGACATGGAACAAAGAGACTTAATAAACCTCAGCTGATGAACCCTGGAGGCGAGGTTGCAGTGAGCCAAGATTGCTCCACTGCACTCTCGCCTGGGCAACAGAGCAAGACTCCATCTCAGAAAAAGAAAAAAAAAAAAACCTCAGCTGAAGGAACTGGGGCTGGAGGGAGGCAGACAGGTGAGTGGTGGTGAGCAGGGGCCTCAGGATGGCTTTTTTTTTCTTTTCAAATTGTTTGTAGAGGCTGGGTACAGTGGCTCATCCCTGTACTCCCAGCACTTTGGGAGGCCGAGGTTGGTGGATCACCTGAGGTCAGGAGTTCGAGAACAGCCTGGTCAACATGGTGAAACCTTGTCTCTACTAAAAATACAAAAATTAACTGGGCATGGTGGTGCGCACCTGTAATCCCAGATACTCACGAAGCTGAGGCAGGAGAATCACTTGAACCCAGGAGGCAGAGGTTGCAGTGAGCTGAGATTGAACCACTGCACTCCAGCCTGGGGGACAGAGCGAGACTCAGTCTTAAAAAAAAAAATTTTAAAAAAGCCAGGTGTGGTGGCTCACGCCTGTATCCCAGAACTTTGGGAGGCCAAGGCAGGCAGATCACGAGGCCAGGAGTTCAAGACCATCCTGACCAACATGGTGAAACCCCAACTCTACTAAAAATACAATAAACAAAAATTATCTGGGCATGGTGACGCATGCCTGTAATCCCAGCTACTCGGGAGGCTGAGGCAGAATTGCTTAAACTGGGACCTGAGAGGCAGAGGTGGCAGTGAGCCGACATCGTACCACTGCACTCCAGCCTGGGCTACAGAGGGAGACTCTGTCTCAGAAAAAAAAAAGAAAAGAAAAGAAAAAAAAATTGTAGAGATGGGGTCTCTATGTTGTCCAGGCTCGTCTCAAACTCCTGGCCTCAAGCGATCCTTCCACCTCAGCCCCACAAAGTGCTGGGATTACTGCAGCTAGCCTAGTCTCAGGATAACTTTCTAGGCCCCAAGCCCCACCCATTGCTGCCTTTGTCCCTGTGATCTCTGAGTGCTGGCCTCCGGCCGCTCCCCCCGCCAGCCTGGACCACTCACCTGCGCTCCCCCGTGTGCCACACCTCATGCTTCGTGCGGTACTCCGCCAGGGCGAACACTTTCTCACAATAGCGGCAGGGGTACTTCCTCCGCCACGAGTGTACATTGCTGTGTCTCTTCAGACTGGACAGGGTCACATAGGAACGCTCACAAGCTGCGCACACATACAGCACGTGGCCTCCCACCACCTTCACCACGTGCTCGGGGCCTCCTCGGAAGCCCGCCGGTGGAGGCAGGGCTGAGGCGTCCACCCCTGCAGGACCACCAGGGCCAGCGCCCCCGGCTCCCAGCCCTGTAGACCCCCGAGTGCTAGCCCCTCGTCGGCACTGGGCCTCATGGGTCTGCAGCCGTTTGGGATGGATGAAGCTTTTTCCACACTGGGGGCAGGGGAGGGGCCGCCGGGGTAGGGAGCACTGCAAGTCAGGGGCCTGGGCCTCAGCCCTGTCACCCTCCCACTCCCCAGCTGGCCTGGGCCGGGGCCCAAAGCTGTCCTCTTCAGGTTGCGAGGTGGCCATGGGGGCTGGGGTAGGAGGTACCCAGGCATCACCTCCCTCCCCCAGGCCCTGAAGGCGGGAGATGCCCAGACGGCGCCCCAAAGCTCCAATCTCTGCTACAGCTGCCCCGTCCCCTCCACCACCAGGCAGTGCGAGCCGGGCGCTATAGATGAAGTTGAGGACATCAGAAAATGCAGCTGCTGGGACCCCTGGCAACTCCAGGACCCGGGGCGGGGAAGAAGCAGGGGGAGAGGCTGGAGGGGGAGAGGAAGAGGAAGAGGAGGAAGAAGAGGAAGCAGAGGAGGAGGAAGAGGAAGACGACGAGGAAGAGGAGGAGGAGGAGGAAGAGGCAGCTGTGGTGGTGGCAGGGTTGGGTGCAGAGCCCCCTGTAGCTGGTGGGAGGGACAGTGGAGCTGAAGTGAGCAGGGCCTCTCTGAAGAAGGGACTCGAAGCAGCCAGGACGCTGCGGTGAGCAGGGAACTTGGTGTCTCCGGCTATGAGGGTGACGTCACAGAAGAGGCCACGGAGCCGCTGTTCATTGAGCTGGCGCAGGACGGCGGGGGCATGAGACGGGTCCGTCACCTCTGCAGGGGGGGGCATGGTGCCAGCCTAGACAGTGGGAGAAGAGGCCAGGTAGAGTCTCGGAGGCTGGGCAGAGGGCAGAGGCTTCTAAGGTCAGGCAAAGAGAGGGTCAGGAGCTGCTGGTCAGAAGCCAGTGGAAGGCTGAATCACTTCAGGCCACAGAAGCCAGGGCTTGGCCCTTAGCCACCCAAGTCTGGCCAGCATCCAAGACCAGTATGTCTAACTCACTTCTGTGGCTAGAAGAGGCCAGAGATACCTCAGGTCATGGTGAAGGTCAAGGGGTCATGACCTCTGAAGTCACAGACTAGAGAGGTAAGCGAGGGAAACCTGTCTCATGGGAAGGAGGAGGAAGCGCCACAACTCCTGATAGCCATTTCACAGAACTCCCCAGCCTAGACAAAATGGCCGCCCCTGCTGGCCTGCTGCCTTGCGTCTACTTTTCCCTCACTGTAGACCTCTGGGTACCTTCTCACCTGAGAGCACAGCCAACATGGAGTGGGGCGGGGGGTGGCTCAGCGAGTCCCTTCTGCTGGGCCTCTTCCTTCTGTGGAGAAACAGAAACCATGTCAGGGGAACCTAGAGGAGGAGCAGGAGAGGGTCATCAGGGAGGGAAGTGCGAGGAAAAGCCCCCAGGAAGTGGGGAGGGGTGCAGGACTGTGGCCAGAGAGGACATCCGGGTGAGCCCGGACCCCTCCCCGGAGCCTCTGCCAGGTTATTTGTTTAGCTGTGTCCGGTCAAACCTGGGAGGCCACGCAGATTATTACAGAGCCTTGTTCTGCAGGCCCAGAGAAGTACAGTGACAAGATAATTTGCATATTCTCAATTCACCTCCAAACAATACAGTAGCACAGGTCCAGCCCATAGGTTCAGGGAAGCCTGTCACAGCACTCTCAAGTCCCTTTGGCCCAATCTCCAGGGCTTAGAGAAAGTCAAAGATTTGCATGTTGTCATTCATCACAATGGTCTCATTTACATATCAAAATAATTTGTGAGTTTTTAACAATGGGACCTAAGCTGGCAGATATTCAAATGAGGAGAGGACCTCCTCATATCCTCCCAGCCCCATAAATCTTAGAGGGGGTTTCTGGCCCAGCTGCCAGGCAACCATTGAAGCCCACTGACCCCTACACAACTGCCAGCTTGCTCCAGTCTCTGGAGGGCACTGGAAAGGCCACAGGACCAGGAGGCCTGGTCCCACACCTCATTCAGAGACCTGATGCCCTAGGGATTTGGGCTGAAAAAGCAGCATAATCAAGGGCGGGCGCGGTGGCTCATGCCTGTAATCCCAGCACTTTGGGAGGTAGAGGTGGGCAGATCACGAGTTCAGGAGATCGAGACCATCCTGGCTAACACGATGAAACCCCTGGCTAACATGGTGAAACCCCATCTCCACTAAAAATACAAAAAATTAGCCAGGCGTGGTGGCGCACGCCTGTAATCCCAGCTGCTTGGGAGGTTGAAGCAGGAAAATCGCTTGAACCGGGGAAGTGGAGGTTGCAGTGAGACGAGGTCACGCCACTGCACTCCAGCATGGGCCACAGAGCGAAACTCTGTCTCAAAAAAAAAAAAAAAAAAACAAAAAAAACCCCAAAAAACAAAGGGAAGAGCAGGCAACTCAAAGGCAAGCTCAGGCAGTCAGCAGCACAGAAAGTACCGCACGGCCACTTTCTCCTGCAGGCACCATCAGGGCCTCGAGGACTCTTCAGTTGAAGGTTTGAGTTTGAAAGCCAGACTTATCCGGAGTCACACAGCGTTGATAATGACAGGTGGCACCTATTTAGAGATCCAGGCCTGCAGAATTGAGAGCAGAGCTCTCCGGACCCTCTCCTCTGCCCTCCACAAAGCCTGGGAGCCGTCACCCATCTTTGAGGGTGTCCTTCCATATCCCATGGGCCACACGTGTCTTCAGAGGCGTTCGGCATCAGGAGTTCCTCATACAATTCCCATCCCCTGAAAAATATTCTTTCCCATTTATCACTCATACTATCTAGACTCAAAGGCCTTTTCCCCACATATACCCCATTTCGCATTCCTCAAAATATTTTCCTGACACCTTTCCTGGATGGGAAGAAGGAAGATGGTAAACAGGGATGATATTCCAAAGTTTTTTTTTTTTTTTTTTTTTGAGACGGAGTCTCGCTCTGTCGCCCAGGCTGGAGTGCAGTGGCCGGATCTCTGCTCACTGCAAGCTCCGCCTCCTGGGTTCACGCCATTCTCCTGCCTCAGCCTCCCGAGTAGCTGGGACTACAGGCGCCCGCCACCTCGCCCGGCTAGTTTTTTGTATTTTTTTAGTAGAGACGGGGTTTCACCGGGTTAGCCAGGATGGTCTCGATCTCCTGACCTCGTGATCCGCCCGTCTCGGCCTCCCAAAGTGCTGGGATTACAGGCTTGAGCCACCGCGCCCGGCCTGATATTCCAAAGTTTTAACAACCCTGTCTGCCAGGGACTGATCAGGTTCTAGGTCAAGTGTTACCCTGTCAATTGGTGAATTTCAGATAGGTCAGGCATCCTGAGGAAGGGGCCTCACTGCATTCGTGGGCTGGTGCTCAGCCCTGCCACTCACTTCCATGATAACCACTGGCCCACTGGGACCCCAAGAGTCAGTGTTTTATTTGAATTACCTCATTTGTTCCTTATCACTACCCTGAAAGGTAGCAGTTAGCTTTCCCGCTTTTTAAATTTTTATTTATTTATTTTGAGATGGAATCTCGCTCTGCGCCCAGGCTGGAATGCAGTAGCGCAATCTCAGCTCACTGCAAACTCTGCCTCCCGGGTTCAAGTGATTCTCTGGCCTCAGCCTCCTGAGTAGCTGGGATTGCAGGCACCCACCGCCACGCCTGGCTAATTTTTTGTATTTTTAGTAGAGATGGGGTTTCACCCTGTTAGCCAGGGTAATGTCGATCTCCTGATCTTGTGACCCGCTCGCCTAGGCCTCCCAAAGTGTTGGGATTACGGGCATGAGCCACCACACCCGGCCACTATCCCTCCTTAAGGCCAGACACTGTGGCTCACACCTGTAATCCCAACACTTTGGGAGGCCGAGGTGGGTGGATCATCTGAAGTCAGGAGTTCCAGACCAGCCTGGCCCATGTGGAGAAACCCCATCTCTACTAAAAAAAAAAAAAAAAAAAAAAAATTAGCCAGGCATGGTGGTGGGTGCCTATAATCCTAGATACTTGGGAGGCTGAGGCAGGAGAATCGCTTGAACCCGGGAAGTAGAGGCTGCAGTGAGGCGAGATAGCTCTGGATGGAGATTGATCCAGCCTGGGTGACAGAGTGAGACTCCGTCTCAAAAAATAAAAATAAAAATAAATAAAAAATAGGCCAGGCACGGTGGCTCACGCCTGTAATCCTAGCACTTTGGGAGGCCGAGGCGGGTGGATCACGAGGTCAAGAGATTGAGACCATCTTGGCCAACACGGTGAAACCCCATCTCCACTAAAAATACAAAAATTAGCCAGACACGGTGGCGGGCACCTGTAGTCCCAGCCCTCGGGAGGCTGAGGCAGGAGAATCACTTGAATCCAGGAGGCGGAGGTTGCAGTGAGCCGAGATGGAGTCACTGCATTCTAGTCTGGTGACAGAGCGAGACTTTGTCTCAATAAATAAATAAATAAATAAAATGACAGACTATGGGCTGGGTGCAGTGGCTCACACTTGTAATCCCAGCACTTTGGAAGGCTGAGGCAGGTGGATCTCTTGAGCTCAGGAGTTCGAGACCAGCTTGGGCAAGATGGAAAAACCTGGTCTCTACAAAAAATACAAAAAGTAGCCAGGTGTGGTGGCGTGCACCTGCAGTCTCAGCTACTCAGGAGGCTGAGGTGGGAGCATCCCTTAAGCCCAGCAGTTCAGAGCTGCAGTGAGCTATGATTGTGCCACTGTACTCCAGCCTGAGTGACAGAACCACACCCTGTCTCAAAAAATAAAATAGGCTGGGCATGGTGGCTCATGCCTGGAATCCCAGCACTTTGGGAGGCCGAGGTGTGTGGATCACCTAAAGTTCAGAAGCTCGAGACCAGCCTGGCCAACATGGTGAAACCCCATCTCTACTTAAAATATAAAAAATTAGCAGGGCATGGAGGCAGGCACCTGTAATCCCAGCTACTCAGGAGGCTGAGGCAGGAGAATCACTTGAACCCAGGAGGCGAAGGTTGCAGTGAGCCGAGATCATGCCATTGCACTCCAGCTTGGGCAACAAGAATGAAACTTCATCTCAAAATAAATAAACAAATAAAATAAATGTCAGATTATGGCTTACAGATGCTAGGTAGCTGGCCCGAGGACATAGAAGCAGCTAGTAGCAGATCTAACTTTCTGATCCCAGGAAGTTTGGTTCCAAAGCCTATGTTCCTGATGACTTCACGACTTCACCTTACATTAATGAAGGACGTGTTTATGGCACCCACCCGGGCTCAAATAGCCCACCTGGGTGCCTTTCCGAAAATTAGAAGCAAGGTTCTTTCCTCCAGGAGGCAGCAGCCCTGTGTAGGTGAGCAAAGTCAAGGTTTGCCTCCAGTCCCCATTCACTGCATTGGCTGGGCCTGCCAACCTGCACAACCATATTGGTGGACTTGGTGCCTATGCATGTGTGACTGTGTGCTAACTGCCACTGTACTTGGACGAGACCTGTCAGGGCTTCTAAGAATCAGAGACACCCAATGCTGGACTGGCCCTTAGGGATCACACACAATCATCGTCATCATGGTCTCTGTAGCTGCCATTTGTGAATTTTTTTTTTTTTTTTAGACAGGGTCTCATTCTGTTGCCCAAGCTGGAGTGCAGTGATGTGAACATGGCTCACTGCAGCCTCAACCTCCTGGAATAAAATGATCCTCCTGTCTCAGCCTCCTGAGTATCTGGGACCAATGGCATATGACATAATGCCTGGCTAATTTATTTATTTACTTTTGTAGAAATGGGGTCTTGCCGTGTTGCCCAGGCTTGAAATACTTACCATGTGCAAAGTATAATGCTAAGCATTTTATCTGTATCATCTCATTTCAACACTCAAAATGGCCACAGTGAGGCAACAGGCTTAGAGAAATCAAATACTCTAAACTCCTCCCTTTGAGGTAGAGGGAAGGTAGTGATGGGGTTATCTGCCTCAGATTTTGTTGCTAGCCAACCCAGCGTTTGGACGCAGCTTGAGTTCAACTGCCCTGTGACTGGCTACTGCCCTGCAAGGCCTTACTGGAAGTGGAAAAGACCAGCTATGTGACCCCAGGCAGGTTACTTAACCTCTCTGTATCTGTTTCCTTGTCCGTACGGTGGGGACGATTAATAGTTCCTACCTTGTGGGGTTGTTATAAAGATTAAGCGAGCCAACAAGTGGCAATATCTAGTTCGTAGAACTCAGTCCTGGAAAATGGTGGAGAGAAGCGGTGAAGAAAAAAAGGCATAAATTGGGCTTCATGGTAGGTTTGGTGGCTCTGTGGTTTTCAAGTTTTTTGTTTGTTCTTACCATTTCTACTCTTCAATGCCTGTGTGACTTCAGAGGTGCCACTGAGGTGGGGATCTGAGCATGGACACCAGACACGCCCTACATCTTGTGGTTCCCTCTGGCTGGAATGTTCTTTCTTCCAGATAACCTCATGCAGTGAAGCCCAACTTCCTTTAAGCCTTGACTTAGAAGCTACCTTCCTCTGAGGCCTTCCCTGGCCACTCCCCACTTCCTAAAACTTCCTATCTCCCTACCCTACTTTATTTTACTCCTTAGCACTTAGTAACAGGTTTTTTTTTTTTTTGAGACAGAGTCCAGTTCTGTCACCCAGGCTGGAGTGCAGTGGTGTGATCTGGGCTCACTGCAACTTCCTCCTCCCAGGTTCCAGCAATTCTCCTGCCTCAGTCTCCTGAGTAGCTGGGATTACAGGCGCCCAACACCACACCTGGCTAATTTTTTTTTCTTCTTTTTTTTTTGAGACACAGTCTTACTCTGTCGCCCAGGCTGGAGTGCAGCGGCACAATCTCCGCTCACTGCAGCCTCCGCCTCCCCAGTTCAATCAATTCTTTGCCTCAGCTTCCTGAGTAGCTGGGATCACAGGCACCCACCACCATACCCGGCTAATTTTTATATTTTTAGTAGAGACGGGGTTTCACCATCTTGGCCAGGCTGGTCTTGAACTCCTGACCTCGTGATCCACCTGCCTTGGCCTCCCAAAGTTCTGGGATTACAGGCGTGAGCCACTGCGCCCAGCCTGGCTAATTTTTTCGTATTTTTAGTAGAGGTGGGATTCCACCATGTTGGTCAGGCTGGTTTTGAACTCCTGACCTCAAGTGATCTGCCCGCCTCTTCTGCCTCTCCAAGTGCTAGGATTACAGGCATGAGCCACTGCACCTGGCCATTCTTTTTTTTTTTTTTTTTTGAGACGAGGTCTCACTCCATTGTCCACATTGGAGTGCAGTGACACAATCACGGTTCATTGCAGCCTCAACCTCCCAGGCTCTCGTGACCTCCCACCTCAGTGTCCCTAGTAGCTGACACCACAGGTGCACACCACAATGCCCAGTTAATTTATTTTTTATTTTTAGTAGAGACTGGATCTCCCTATGTTGGCCAGGCTTTTCTTGAACTCCTGGGCTCAAGTGATCCTTCTGCCTCAGCCTCCCAAAGTGCTGGGATGACATGCATGAGCCACTGAAACTGGCCCACCTGTTTCTCTCCCTTTTTTTTTTCAGGGGGGACACAGTCTAGCTCTGTTGCCCAGGCTGGAGTGCAGTGGCACGATCTCGGCTCACTGCAACCTCTGCTTCCCAGGTTCAAGCGATTCTCCTGCTTCAACCTCCCAAGTCACTGGGACTACAGGTGCCCGCCACCACGTTGTTTTTTTTTTTTTTGAGACGGAGTCTTGCTCTGTCACCCAGGCTGGAGTGGAGTGGCACGATCTCAGCTCACTGCAAGCTGTACCTCCTGGGTTCATGCCATTCTGCTTCAGCCAACTGAGTAACTGGGACTATAGGCGCCTGCCACCACTCCCAGCTAATTTTTTTTTTGTATTTTTAGTAGAGACAGGGTTTCACTGTGTTAGCCAGGATAGTCTAGATCTCCTGACCTTGTGATCCTCCTGTTTTGGCCTCCCAAAGGGCTGGGATTACAGGCGTGAGCCACCGCGCCCAGCCAGACCCGGCTAATTTTTGTATTTTTAGTAGAGATGGGGTTTCACCATGTTGGCCTGACTGATCTTGAACTCCTGACCTCAGGTGATCTGTCTGCCTTGGCCTCCCAAAGTGCTGGGATTACAGAGCCCGGTCAACTGTTTATCTTTTTTTGAGACTGGATCTTGCTCTGTTGCCCAGGCTGGAGTACAGTGGTGGGATTGAAGCTCACTGCAGCCTTGACCTCCTGGGCTCCAGTGATCCTTTACCTCTCAGCCTGCTGAGTAGCTGGGACTACAGGTACCTGCCACCATGCCCAGCTACTTTTTGTATTTTTTGTAGAGATGAGGTTTCACCATGTTCCCCAGGGCTGGTCTTGAATTCCTGGGCTCAAGCAATCCGCCCAACTCAGCCTCCCAAAGTGCTGGGATTATAGTGGAGAGCCACTGCACCCAGCTCCTATTTCTTATTTATCTCCGGAATGTAAGCTCCAAGGGGTAAAAGGTAGGATTTTTTGGGGTTTTGTTTTGTTTTTGAGATGGCGTCTCGCTCTGTTGCCCAAGCTGGAGTGCAGTGGCGTGATTTCTCTCAGCTCACTGCAACCTCCGCCTCCTGGGTTCAAGCAATTGTCCTACCTCAGCCTCCCAAAAACCCAGAACTCTAGGCATATGCTACCACACCCGGCTAATTTTCGTATTTTTAGTAGAGACAAATACCATGTTAGCCACGCTGGTCTCGAACTCCTGACCTCAGGTGATCCACCTGCCTTGGCCTCCCAAAGTGCTGGAATTACAGGTGTGAGTCACCGTGGTCAGCCTTTTTTTTTTTTTTTTGACATGAGGTCTTGCTTTGTTACCCAGGCTGGAGTACAGTGGTGTTACCACAGCTCCCTGCAGCCTCGACCTCCCCCAGGCTCAGGTGATTCTCTCATTTCAGCCTCTCAAGTAGCACCGCCCAGCGAATTTTTTGTATTTTTAGTAGAGATAGTGTTTCACCATGTTTCCTAGGTTGGTCTTGAACTCCTGGGATCAAGCAATTCACCGCCTTGGACACCCAAAGTGTTGGAATTACAGGTGTGAGCCCCAGCACCCAGCCAGGGGTAGGGAATTTTGTCTGCTTTGTTCACTGCAGTATCTCAAGTCCTTAGAATAGGGCCTAGCACATAATGGGTAGTTAAAAACAAACAAAAAAACAGGTAAATTAATGAACCTGTCCTCAAAGTCCATCCTCCAGGAACGAAGCCATTATCCATGACGGACTAAGTTGGCCCAGAGATAGGGATGACCATTATAACTTGACCACTTCTGGGCCAGGCACAGTGGCGCACGCCTGTAATCCCAGTACTTTGGGAGGCTGAAGCGGGCAGATCACTTGAGGTCAGGAGTTCCAGACCAGCCTGGCCACCATGATGAAACCCTGTCTATACTAAAAATGCAAAAATTAGCCGGGTGTGGTGGTGCACGCCTGCAATCCCAGCTACTCAGGTGGCTGAGGTAGAAGAATTGCTTGAACTGGGGAGGTGGTGGTTGCAGTGCGCCAGAGATTGCGCCACTGCATTCCAGCCTGGGTGACAGAGTGAGACTCTGCCTCAAAAAAAAAAAAAAATAGGCCGGGTATGGCCAGGTCACGCCTGTAATCCCAGCACTTTGGGAGGCCAAGGCAGGTGGATCACCTGAGATCAGGAACTGACCACCAGCTTGGCCAACATGGTGAAACTCGGTCTCTACCAAAAATAAAAAATTAGCTGGGCGTGGTGTTGGGCGCCTGTAATCCCAGCTACCTGGGAGGCTGAAGCAGGAGAATCACCTGAACCTGGAAGGCGGAGGTTGCAGTGAGCCGAGATCATGCCATTACACTCCAGCCTGGGCAACAAGAGCGAAATTCCGTCTCAATAAAAAAAAAATTTTTTAAACCATAAATAAGTTGCACTCTGGAGTCCTCACAATTTGCCCCATACTCTTCTTGGGACCTCACACACACTGCCTCATTTAATGATTTTCTCAGTACAGCCACCCCCAGTAGGTATTTATATTATCCCGTTGCCCAGGTTGGAGTGCAGTGGCATGATCTCGGCTCACTGCAACCTCCGTCTCCCAGGTTTAAGCAATTCTCCACCTCAGCCTCCAGAGTAGCTGGGATTCCATGCCCAGCTAGTTTTTGTATTTTTAGTAGAGACAGGGGTTCTCCATGTTGGCCAGGCTGGTCTTGAACTCTTGACGTCAGGTGATCCCCCCCGCCTTAGCTTCCCAAAGTGCTGGGATTACAGGCATGTGCCACCGCGCCTGGTCATATTATTCTAATTTTACAGAAGAGGAAACCAAGGCTCAGAGAGGGATATACCTTGCTCGAGATCGCACAGCTTGTAAATAGCAGTCAAGATTCGAATCCAGGCCCAGCTGACCCCAGATGCTCAATCTTTCCCTCTGCCATACTGCTAGACCTGGCCCTGAAGGGGCCTATGGCCCGCCAGCTGGTTACATAAACCACCGCACAAGGTCTCACGTGCTAAGTGCTAAATGTGTCATGTCTGACTCCACCCTTTCCCTCGCTCCCACATCCAGCAGTCATCAAGTGTGGCTGAAACCACGGCCGAGCTTGGGAATGGCTCTGGAAATCTTCCCTTCGATAGCTCAGGTCCTTGTTAACACTCACATGGTCCAAGGCTATAGTCTCCCAGCTATCCCCTGGCCTCCAGGCTTACCTTCCTCCACCCAGCCCTCCTCCCACCGAGGGTCAACATCCCTAACCACAGTTCAGGAATATCACTCCTGGGCTCAAAACCTCCACTGGTCCCCACTGACTCTAGAATAAAATTCAGATTCTTCTACCAGGCAGTCAAGGGCTCTAGTCTAGCTCCAATCTTCCTTTTTAATCTTGCCTTGTGTTATCCTCTTCAAACACACAGTAATCAGTGTGAGCCGGGCGTGGTGGCACGTACCCGTAGTCCCAGCTACTCAGCAGGCTGAGGCTAGAGGATTGCTTGAGCCCAGGAGTTTGAGTCCAGCCTGGGCAACATAGTGAGACCCCATCTCTAAACAAATGAATGAAACCCCAGACACCCAGTGTGCCCTCCAGCTTCTACATGACCCACACCTGCACGCCTTTGCCTGTGCTGGCTTGTCCTGTCAGAAATGCTCTTTCCCCAAGCTTGTCAAAATCCCTCCAAAACATTAAGATCTAACTCCAAGGCCACCTCCTTCTCAGCCCTCCCTGACTGACAAGATGAGGACAATCTCTCCTTCCTCTGACTCATCAACCTTTTGTGCCCCTATGGCCACCATCCACCTTATGCAGCAGCACAGACTCAGGTTCTCATGGCCTCAGCTGGGGCTCCCTGAGCATCTGGGTCTTCTGAAATGGACTGCTGCACAGATGCTAAGTTCTGCAGTAACTGGGGAGAAGAGTGTTGGAGGCAATTGCACAGAAAGGACCATCCACTGAATGTTCCAGAAGGTAGCAGAGTACAGTAGTTAAGAGCACAAGATCTGCAACCTGATTGCCCAGGTTCAAATACAGCTTCACCTCTCACTAGCTAAGTGACTTGGGACAAATTACTTAACTTCTCTGGCCCTCAGCTGCCTCACTTGAAAAAGGGAGGTAATTACAGTGCCTACTTCATGGTGTTGGTCGGAGGACTGAGTGACCACATGTAAGCGCCCTGAAGACAGTGGCTGGTGCACGGTCCGTGCTCAGCAAGTGTGTGCTGCCATTATTATCAGCCAAGCCCCGAGAAGGGAATTCCCAGTCCTGACGGAGGGGTGACAGGGGCTGTGCCAGCCCCCAGACTGCAGCCACTTTTGGGTCCGTTTCCCACGTGCTTTCGGAAGATATGCAGGGCAGGCAATCAGCCCCATTCCGCAGATGAGGAACTGAGCTTCCTTCAGATCAAGTGCCAGTGAGGGAATGGTAAAGACGCCAGAGCTCCTCAGCCCTGGGCCATGGCTCCTTTCTCTTCACCAGGCTGTCACTGTGCACCTGTTGTGCAGGCTCCCCCAGGCGGCCACCCCCTCCCAGCCCCCCATGCCGGAGGGCCTGTCCACAGCACCCTCCCTTCCCCTATGTACACACATCCTTCCAGTGGGGCCAGGCACAGTAGACAGTGGTGTGCAGGCTTGGAATGCACTCGCACACACACCCCTAGAAGGGCCCAGGCCCCAAAGGTGAGGAAAACCTGTTCTGAGGAATCTGCCTAGTGAGCGAATTCCGTTCCGAGGCCCTTCCACCGTCGAAGGAGTGGGGCCCAGTGTGCGTCAGAGATACCCACAAGGGGGGCAGAGAGAGGGAGAGGGTGAAGCAGGAGGAGGCTGAAAACTTCACGTTTCTTTTTTCCATTTTAGTGACAAGAGTCACACCCAGCCTTTACATAAACACGGCCAAGGAGCCGCTCTGTCTAAGCTTACTTCCCTTGTGGCCGCCCAGCCTCTCCTCCGGGTGACCCTGACATGCTGGGCAGGCTGATGAGGGGCAAACACACAGACCCTGCAAAGATTAGCTGGGCCGCCTGACAACACCCATGCCTCCCGCCGGCCGCCATGCGCTACCCTGCATTTATCTCCCGCCTTCCTCATACCAAATCCCCTCCGCAGCCCCACCACCACTTAAGCACACAGACGGCAGGCACGCATACACAGCCTGCTTGCGGCTGGCCTCTTGGGTCTGAGGCCCACACTACCCTTGTCACGCCACCTCCCTCCCCACATGTGTTTTCTGACCAGCTTGCCTCCCAGCCCAGCAGCCCGGACAGGCTCCTACAAACAACGTCACAAAAGAATCCTGTGGAGAATGTTGCAAACGCAAAACCTTCCCCTTGCTTGGCTGCCCATGATCCCACAAACACAAGTGGCGCATTCCACCCCGAACCCCTCACACCAATGCCAGCTGACCCACAGGCCCGAGACACACCCTGGGGTTCCTCACTCCAGATCTTCCGGATCTGAGTTCTAGACGCGCAGCCCCCATGCAACGCGCTCATGACGGACACGCAAACCCATCCATCGCCCTCTTTACCACTGGACCACACCTCAACAGAGCAACAGAAATGGGACCCAGACGTGACGCCTTCTGACTAAAAGGCCCACAACCGCCCCCTCCAAAAGGGCACATACACTGCATCCTGGCACCCTCCGCAACACATACAGCATGCCAGCTCTGCAGAAAACAGTTCATAAACAGGTCATAGGTGCAGCACAAGACGCACATGCGAGAAAACACATGCTGGAGAAAACACACAGCCCCACATCGAACAAACTCTGCACCAGCATGCTGTGCCCTGCTCAGAATGCCCATCTGTCACCCAAAGCCACAGGGCTCGTCTTGTAACTCTGCCCCACAACACTGCACACCCCTTCTGGCTTTCTACCTCCATGGCCCAGGGAGGGCCCTACCCAGACCCCTGGCTGCCAGCAAACGGTGGTGCCCAGGAGAGGTTTACCTTGCCCCACCACACAGCACGAGACACACGATCTCCAAGACTCACAGCCACAACCCTGCCCCGACGGCGCGGCGGTTCCGGGGCCCCAGCTCGCCCTGCGCACCCCGCACACCCCAACTCTGGGGCGCTCGGCGGCCCACCCCTCCCCCTCTCTGCCTGGCTCCTACGCCATCGCCCTCCCAGCAGCTTGCAGCGCTTGCCCGGGCTCACACCCGCCCCACCCCACCCCCAACCTGCCCCACGGGGGGAGGGGGACATTAGGCTGCAGAATTAACCCTTCAAAGGGGGAGTGAGCGCCGCCCCTTCCACGGCCCCAGGCGATCGCGTCCCCCGGCCGCCGCTCGCTCGGACGCCATACCAGGGCCCCCTTAGTCGCCCCCCAGCGTCGTGTGCGCCCGGGGGCGGGGCCAGGCTCAGCCCCCGACCCCTGCGCCCCCAGGTCAACCCCAAAGGAGAGCGGTCTGGGCGCGGGGCGCGGCCGGGGCTCCGCGGCGCCGGGCAGCGGAGAGGGGGCCCGGCTGTTGGCTCCGGTCCGCCCTGGCCCTGCCCAGTTCGCCCCGGGGCCCACCTGACTGTGATGGCGCCGCGTCCGCCAGGCCCGGCTCATCACCGTGGCCGCCCCCGGCCGCTCCGGTTTCGCCCGCCTCCAGCTCCGGCTCCGGCTCCGGCTCCGGCCCCGGCCCCCCCAGCGCCTGGCCCCGGCCCGGCCCCGCTGCCGCCGCCGCCGCCGCCGCTGACATCATCGGCTCCCCCCGCCCCCGTCCCCCCCCCCCCCCCCCCCCCGGAAACAGTCCCCCCCCAGCGCCGCCGCCGTCGCCGCCGAGAGGAGGCCGGCGCAGCGCAGCCGACACCGACACAAAGCTCCGAGCGCCTGACGGCCTTCCCCGGGACTGATCCCCGCGGCAGGACACCGCGCCGCGCTGGGCCACCGGGCGGGTGGACACCGAGCCGGGCGCGGGCCGGATTGCAGCACCCCGGCAGGGGCGCAAGACCACCGACCCCCAGGGAAAGGGCTCCCTCCGCCCTTCCCCCTGCACGCCCTTCACTCAGCGGTGCACACTGCCTGAAAGCATTTAACACACAGGCTCTCAGGGTGCAGACATGACATGGCAGACTCATAATCAGGCCCAGTGGGACCCACAGACTCAGGGTCAGCACACTCAAAGAGGGCCAGCCCTGGACACACACACACACACCCTCTCCAGGAATGCGCAGGAACGCTTAGCAGGCCGCGGAAAAGGAAGGCCCTGGCCATGCACACGGGGCACACATTAACGACCACCAGCGCAAATGAACACACGAAGCTGGCTGGGTACTTTGTCCCCACCAGCAGATAGATCCACATCTGTATCCTTGAACATAAATGCAGAAGCCTTGTTGTCGGCCTCTGGGGACAGCATCAACAAAACACCAGGTGGAAGCACAAACAGAAAAAAACACATTCCTGAAACTCCACAGGGACAATCCCAAGAACTCCTCCCTGGTGCTGGAAAATTAAAAACTAAGGAGATAGAGGAGCCAGGCTTCAGAGCTCCTTGCCTTAAAACCTCTCTGAGGCCCGGTGCGGTGGCTCACGCCTGTAATCCTAGCACTTTGGGAGGCAGAGGCGGACAGATCATGAGGTCAGGAAATCGAGACCATCCTGGCTAACACGGTGAAACCCGTCTCTACTAAAAATACAAAAAAATTAGGCGGGTGTGGTGGCGGGCGCCTGTAATCCCAGCTACTTGGGAGGCTGAGGCAGGAGAATGGCGTGAACCCGGGAGGCGGAGCTTGCAGTGAGCCGAGATGGCGAGATGGTGCCACTGCACTCCAGCCTGTGCTGGGCAGGGTGGGTCATGCCTGTAATCCCATCACTTCGGGAGGCTGAGGTGGGGTGGATCACTTGACGTCAGGAGTTCCTGAACAGCTTGACCAACATGGTGAAACCCCATCTCTACCAAAAAAAAAAAAACAAACAACAAAAAATAAAATTAGCCGGGTGCAGTGGCTCACGCCTGTAATCCCAGCACTTTGGGAGGCCGAGGTGGGCGGATCACCTGAGGTCAGGAGTTCAAGACCAGTCTGGCCAACATGGAGAAACACCATCTCTACTAAAAATAAAAAAATAGCTGGGTGTGGTGGTGCATGCCTGTAATCCCAGCTACTTGGGAGGATGAGGTAGAATTGCTTGAACCTGGGAGGCAGAGGTTGCGGTGAGCCGAGATCGCACCACTGCACCCCAGCCTGGGCAACAAGAGCGAAACTCCATCTCAAAAAAAAAAAAAAAAAGAAAAATTAGCCAGGTGTGGTGGCGCACGCTTGTAATCCCAGCTACTTGGGAGGCTGAGGCAGGAGAATCGCTTGAATCTGAGAGGTGGAGGTTGCAGTGAGATGAGATCACACCATTGCACTCCAGCCTGGACAAGAGTGGAAACCATTTCAAACAAAAAAAGAAAGAAAAGAAGCAGAGTTAGACTCAGTGGGAAAATAGGCACACTACCACCTCAGGAGGGTTCCAGGGAAGAACCCCACCCCCACTCCAACCAGGTCACAATGGCTGGAGCTCTGAGGGGCCCAGGCTCCCTGAGCCAGGAGGAGAGAGGAGAAAGTCTAAGGAAAAATGGTGAGTGTGGGGGCCAGGGGCCCAATACTCCCTCCCTATAGCTCCTGGTTGCTCCATTTCCCCTCCTTTCCTAAAACTTAGCTGTCTCAGAGATACCCACAAATATAATTCATAATGGTGTACCCAGGTGTCTCTGGAACTTGTGGCATCACACAGATGCATAGCATCTGAGGCTTCCTCCCCTTCCTCAATCCAAGAGGGCATCCTGGTTCCTTTTTCTCCTCCCAGGAACAACTTACCTAGGGAAATGATACTCCAGGACCGCTCACTCCTTGCTTCCTGCTGCAGACCCACATTATACCATCTCACTCATCTTTTAGGCCCTTTCTAGCTCCCAAGAGTTCCTCCCAGACCCCATCCTCGCATCTGCCCTGCCCCAGGTCACCCGGGCTGTGGCTACTGTCTACCCTGAGCTCCTTTCTCCCTAACAGGCTGGCAGTCACCCCTACTTCAACCTGCCCGACTTCACGCAGCCATCGCCGCCCTCCACTCCACCCAGCCTCCCCTCGCACCAGCGCTGCCAGCCCTCTGATGCCACCAAGGGTCTGCTGGTGGCCCTGTTGGGTGGGGGCCTGCCTGCTGGCTTTGTGGGCCCCCTTTCTCGTATGGCTTACCAGGCTTCCAACCTGCCCTCGCTGGAGTTGCTCGTCTGTCGGTGTCTCTTCCACCTCCCTATTGCCCTGCTACTTAAACTGCGTGGCGACCCACTTCTGGGACCTCCTGACATCCGAGGCCGGGCCTGCCTCCATGCCCTGCTCAACGTCCTCAGCATTGGATGTGCCTACAGTGCGGTTCAGGTGGTGCCCGCTGGCAACGCTGCCACTGTTCGCAAAGGTTCTTCCACCGTCTGCTCCGCCCTCCTCGCCCTCTGCCTTGAGAGCCAGGGTCTCAGTGGCTACGACTGGTGTGGACTGTTGGGCAGCATCCTAGGACTAATCATCATTGTGGGACCTGGACTAGGGACACTG